CAAAATCTTAACAAACCAAAAATGATACTTTATGCTAATTACTGAAGAAAGCAATATAAAAAATGTTTAACTAACAAAAACCAAGACATAAATTATTTCTTACAACATGTCAATACAATTAAAATGAAAGTTCATATCGAGAAAGTTAAATTATCAAAAAAAGAGGATATTAACTTAATATCTATGTTATTTAATTAACAAAATCAATATAAACAGAATAAGTAAGAGAATAAAAAAGACTTAAATAATACTAAAAAACTTAACTACCAAAAAGAATTTAAATATTCAAGCTAATTATTTAAGAAATAAATATTAAGAAATTAATTAACTAAAAAACTAAAACGAAAATAAAGTTTTAAAAAATATTATTTTTTTAAAAAACACTTAAAAATATATTGACTTGATATCATACTAACTACTTAAAAAATTCATATAAAAATATTTAACCAAGAAAAAATTTATGTCTTCAAAATATCAATATTTTAAAAACAATGTGGTGTTAAAATAAAATAAAAATCAATATCAAGAGAGGTAAATTATCAAAGGAAAAAACGTATAAAGTAAAATTAGCTTGATATTTAGGCTAACTACCAAACAAATATTAACTAAAAAAGCAAATGATGGTATAAGCTTTTGAAAGAAGTTCACTTAAAAATTAGAATAACCAGTTATAGCATGTCAAAATAGCATTTTAATTAATTTAAAAAGTAAATTTTAACAAAGAAAAAGCATTTATGTAAAAGATATTAGATTAATATATATGCTACCTATTTGAAAAAATCAATAATAAAGAGATTAATTAAAAATATATATGTTTTAATTATACCAAACCTGCAGAAAATCAGATAATTAAAATAAAATATAAAATTACCATCAAAGATATTTAAAATAACAAAAAACAAGATATAAGAAGAAAATTAGTTTGAAATATAGTTCCAAAAACATTCATGATTTATAAAATATTTATGTTGACTATGAATAACCATATAAAGTTTTAATAGGTTATACAAGTTTCGAAATCAAACACATTATTTAAATTTAGAAAGATTAATACCTTGGTTGCGTCTTGTTGAAAAATTAATAAAGTAAAATACTACACAAATAACTTTACATTCAAAATATAATAAGTAATAAAATCTGATTTGTATACATATTTACTGCTTATAACTTAGTCAACATGAACAACACATGAGCAACATCCTCTAAAATTTTATTTAAATAATATAATATGATAAAGTTATGAATCAAATTCAAATGGGAATATATGAAGATAAAATATTCAAATCAAAACATGAATAAACACACAAAAGATATAAAAAAACAGTGATAATGTGAAGTCTCAACATTAGGTTACATGTTTAAAAACAAATATTAGCGAATAGTTGACTACAAATAAAACAGATCTTTTAAACTGAATAGAGATATACCGTAAAATTCGTAGAAGATCTGGTGGAGAAGCAAAAAGCAGGTTTACACGATTAATGTAGCTTACTAACAAAAATAAATCTGAATCAACATATATCATATAATATATATATATATACACAATATTAGTGAGACAGTTAGTAAAATAACTAAATATTTAAACATATAAACCTTTTAAAAAAAGAACCATAGAAATCCTAAGAACACAAAACAAAACACCAAAAATTAGTAAGGAAATCATTTTCTAAATCAAACATATGCACATCGAAGTTCGATAATTCGTTAAGTATCATTACTATGATTTTACTTAATAAGATTTATAATTTTATGTTTTAATTTTTTATATAAACTAAAATTTCTATAAATATATTATAGCTTTGATAATTTAAAAAATATTAGCCAAAAAATTAAACCAAATTATTAATACAGACTCGCGCGTAGCACGAATTAAAAGCCTAGTAATATATAAAAATTGATGGCATAATGCATTGAAGGCATCCACATGGGATTAAAAAACTCGATATAATTGGTCCACATCAGCATATTCATTAAATAAAAAAAATGATAAGTATCATTAGGACGAAAAAACTTGATTTAATTGGTCTACATCCGCTTTTAAATCAAACAAAAAATTATTAAGTATAATTAAAACATTAAAAGTAATTTAACAAATTATGTCCAACAAAAAAAATAAATTCAATCTCATTGATCCAAATCAACATATTTATTAAATCAGAAAATATGAATATGGTTTAAAAATTTTAAAGTTAAATAAAAAAATTAACAATTAACAAGACATGTATAAAAAAAGTAACCATTATTAATTATAAATTTAAAAAAATCTACAACAACTCGATTTAACAATTAAAACAATGAAAACTGAATAAAAATATAACATAAAACTCTTGGAAGACATGATGGAGAAGAAAAAAATGGGTTTGCATGATCATTACAGTTTCCTAACAAAATTAATGTGAATCAACATGAATCATATATTATATATACAGTGGTACACAACATCAATAAGACTTTCAATAAAAAAACTAAATATTTGAACACATAAACCTTCAAGAAAAAAAGAACTATAGAAATTCTATGGAAAACAGAAAATAATACCAAAATCTTAGTAATATTATATTTCTCTAAATCAAATGTATATATATGTCAAAGTTTGATAATTCGATAAGTGTCATTGTTATTATTTTACCTAATAGATTTTTAAAAATTTATAAATAAAATAGGATAAATTACACATTATATATTAATTTCTCTTATATAAATGAAAATTCTATAAATATATATAATTTTTAATAATTTTAAAGATAGTAACTAAAAAAATAAACTAAAATATTAATACAGACTCGCGCTATATACCTAGTATATATAATTAGCAAGTTATCTCTCCATCTAAGGTGTCCATATCAGCATAATTTGTATATTAAAATGGGGTTTTAAATAATTTGGGTTTTGTTTTTAAATTTTTAAAATTTGGGTATTTTTTGGGCTTTTAATATGATTAATTTAAAATTAAAAACAAATACTTATTTTACAAATCATAAAAATTATAATTTTTTCCTTTGTGAAAAGGAGTTTGGAAGACAACCAAATACAAAATATTACAAAAAAACTTACAGAAAAATAATTATCAAACTTTATAAAAAAAAACCTTAGAAAGAAATATATATAAAGTTAAAGTAAAATAATTCATATAAAATAAATAATTATTTCATAAACTATTAAAACTACAAATTCTATTTGAAATAAAAAAATTCAAAATGTTATTTCAAATATAAACAAATAGAATTTGAAAAAAATAGTTGGAAAGTGAACAGTAACAAAAGATGACATAATAATTTGTTGAGAATAGTTATCAAACTTATTTAAAAAGGCTTAGAAATATTAATGCTTAAAACTAAAGTAAAATCATTCATATCTACTTTACTATGTAAAATGAACGAATGTTTTTCACAAATAAAGAAAAATAAAGTGTTTAATTATATAGCATAGAAATGAATTTGATTTACACAAACAAGAAAAAAAATGGCAAAAATTTATCAACCATATTTTCTCAACGATGGCAATATAAATTATTATTCGATCACTTTACTCATCAGCCAGATAATAAATAGGTTTTAATATAAAATGTATAAATAAACTAAAACAAGATTATTGATTATAATTTTTAACGTGGTCATGTTGTTTTCATTCACATGATATAAAAATAGACAAAACATAATTTTTTGATATAAGAACCCATCAAACATGTAATATTTGCGCAGATCTCTTGCTCTGTCTAGCCAACTCTAACTAAAATTCTCTTCATTTAGAGTTATAACTTATCACAGAAGTGAATGAGATGGAAGCTTGCATGAAATAAGAGAAAAAAACCCAGTAGATTGCAATCAGAATAGCAAGACTAAGAGCTATAAGAAAGAGGAAAATAACAAAGGACTAACAGTGCTTAAAAATGAGTTAGATTTTTTAAAAATCGATAAAAAAAAATAAAGAAAGCATTTAGTTTATAGTAGAAAAAGATCGATAATGATTTCATTTTATTGATCTATTAAAATAAAATGTAGAAAAAGATGAGAAATCGATTGAATACATACAAACAGTAAGAACACATATAATACTTATTGCAGTATATAAATATATGAAGTATTTTTTCTAACAATTAATACATCACCATCTATATTAGAAAAATAATTTTATAATATAAATAATAATAAAACACTTAAAAATAAAAGACAAATATAACACACAATAATATTATTTTAATAATAATATAAATATACAAAATTTTAGTTAAATTAATAAATAAATCTGTGCGTGTGGATAAAAATCTAATTTTGTAAATTATAATTATTTTATCGTTAATTTTTTCATTGCCGAATCAACACTGACTAAATGGGCCTAAAAGGGCGATTTTGAAATATTTCATGGCAAAAAGCTATTGGCCCAACCGATGCAATTAAACTCCAGCAGCACACGTGAATCTCTCCGGAAACATATTTTCTCCTTATCCACTACTTCCACATAATTTCTGCTGTTCTCTCAGTAACCCCCACGCTCCCTTACCATCGCGTGTATATCACCTTCTCACTTTATAATTATGCTCGAGGATCTATTCTTTTTCAATCTTTTCCATTTTCTGAAATTTACTCTGTCAAAATGTAAAAAGTTACAAACATTGAAACACCATTAGAAATTTCTATCCACCAGTCAATGATAGTCCTGTTGATATATTGATATTATTGTTGCAAATTAATAAACGATTAGTGTTTGACAAAACTTGTTTCCTAACACAATTATTGGGATTTCAGTATCTACGACGCGCTCTGAATTGACGCGTGGGATATGTATTTGTCGGTCAACGAGAGTGCCACGTCATCTCACGTTGCTGTTTCTTATCATCCTATAACCAGCCAGCGTCTTTTCGACACAGCAAATATCAGATTTTATTTCCATTAAATCATTTAAATCACCAAACTCAATTAAAAAAAAAAATAAAATAAAGGAAATTGCTCTTCTTCTTCTTCTTCTTCTTCGATTCTCCTGAAATCAAATATCGGTTCATGTCGTTCAAATTATTGCCGATCTTAGAAGAATCCCATTTTCCTTCGAGAATCTGACATTTTTCTCGGTGAAATCTCTCAAATCGGAGAAAGCTTTCAATCCCGGGAAACAAATTTTAAAAACCGCCATGGATGAGACCTATTCTGATCTAATGCATTTCCTGAAGAAACCTTCTTTTGCAGAGACATTCGTCGACATCATACTATGTGCAGTACCGATTTGGCTCGCCGTAATGATCGGTCTATTGATCGGATGGTCTTGGCGTCCGAGATGGACCGGATTGATCTATCTAGGGTTCCGTTCCAAGCTCCGGTTTCTATGGACTGCGCCGCCTGGATTTGGCGCTAGACGGCTTTGGCTTGCTTTCACAGCTCTCTCTGCTTTCTCCGTTTGCCGCACCATCTGGTCAAGGCTCGACAAATCGGCGGCTGGTTCTTCAGCTTCGTCTCAGACGCCTGAGCTCGTAGAAGAGAGTCTTCAAAGCGACGACACAGGGTTAGTCTCAAGGTCAGTATATTACAGAACATTAATGAATCTGTTCTGTTTTTTTTTTTTCTCTCTGCTATTACTGAGATTTGAGTGTTGGGATTTTCCATTTTAATTGAAGAAGTTTTGGGTTAATCAAAGTTAGTTTTTTTTTTTCAATGATAGAAATATAGTTATGTGTTCAAAAACGTAACCGTTAGCTGGAAAAGGTACATTGTGTGCTTATCCATCTTCTTGAAACTAATGACATTGGCAAAACGGAATGACTTTGTATTTATCTGAGGAAAATGGATCATGGATTTGCAGAACTAGTGATAACACGACGGTGAGAGAGGAGGAAATTGTTACAGAGAATGATCTAGAGCATCTGTTACAGCTGCTTGAAGTCGGGAATGCGTCTATGGAGTGGCAATCCATGATGAACAAGACTACTCCTAATATGAGCTATCAGGCTTGGCGCCATGAGCCTGAGGTAAATCTTAGATTTCAGCTCTTAGCCTTGTTTCTGTTTCCTTATGTGATATCTGAATCATATAGCTGAAGGAACGAGCCAAGCCATTGAGTAGTAGACGCAAGACGCTTTCTTATTTCGAAAAAAAATGAATTCTCTTAGAATGACATCTGATTCAGAGCCCTGTTTTTCGATCATTGGTTTGATGCACTGCTACATTTACTCCTTTGTGTGGCATTTCTATTGAATCTTGAAAACTGGTTGTTTTGAGCCTGAAAGGTTGCGTTGTTTGTCAGACAGGTCCTGTTGTTTATCGTAGTCGAACTGTATTTGAAGATGCAACTCCGGATATCGTAAGGGATTTCTTCTGGGATGATGAGTTTCGACCTAAATGGGATTTTATGCTTGCCAACTTCAAAACTCTGGAGGAAGACACTCAGACAGGAACAATGATTGTTCAGTGGAGAAAAAAGGTCTCTGGACTTTATATGAATGATACTTTTGGTCTCCATAAGCTCTTGTCAATTTGTCATTACTAATTTCTTTTGCTGCAGTTTCCCTTTTTCTGTAGTGATCGTGAGTATATCATTGGCCGGAGAATATGGGAGTCTGGAAACAAGTACTATTGTGTTACAAAGGTACTTTGCTTTTGCCTTCCATGCATCGAAGTGTGTAGTTGCATTTATCTCTAGGGGAAAAGAACTTTTAAGTTTACCTTTTGAAAACAAAGCTTAGAGCTCAGAACTAAGGCGCTTATATCTCTATACATATGCATGGAACATGCTGCTGATTATACATCTTTAGGAGATTCATTTTATGGATATATAATGTAACGCTTGTTGATTTTTAGGGGATCCCTTATCCAGCTCTACCAAAGCGTGATAAGCCGAGGCGTGTCGAGGTTTATTTCTCAAGTTGGGTTATCAGAGCAGGTAAGCCTTTTGAAATGCAAGTCTTTGAGTTTTCTTTGAAGCTAGCACAGAGTTTGGTTGTTAAGCAAATATGAAACAAAATACAGTTGAATCTCGGAAAGGAGACGGACAACAGACGGCTTGTGAAGTATCCTTAGTACATTACGAAGACATGGGGATCCCAAAAGACGTAGCAAAGCTAGGAGTTCGTCATGGTATGTGGGGAGCAGTCAAAAAGCTGAACTCCGGTTTACGAGCCTACCAAGCCGCTAGAAAACCACCTGGCTCGAGTCTATCCCGGATCGCTCAAATGGCGAGGATCACCACGAGACTGAACTTGGACTCTACAGAGACATCCACAGAAGATGAAGACAGAAGCAGAGCAATGGACTATGCAAGGAGACAACGGGACAATTTGAGAATGGACTGGAAATGGTTCGTTGTAGGAGGTGTCGCATTGGCTTGTGGCATTCACACAGGGATCATTGGTAAGGCCTTACTTGCTGGAGCTGGCCAGAGACTTGCTCGCCGATGAAAAACCTTATCATATTTTTTATTGTCATTATTATTATCACCGTCTCTTAAGGCCTTGATAGAAAAAGAGAAACATATATACATATATAACTAAGGGAAATGTATTCTTCTTGCAACTCCTATGAGAAGGGCATGTGGTTTTGATGGTGAACCATGTAGAGTAGTAGCTTTAAGCTACGGAGTCTAAATAGTTTGAGAACTATATTGTTACAGAGGAGAGTTGAGATATGGATTTTTTTTATAAATTTTATGGATCTACATTAGCTTCTAAAAGCTTAAAATCTTTTTTGCATGTGACACACTTTAGTATCTCTCATTGCATCAATTTACTGAACAAGTGCGCACGAGCTGTTCTTTGTTACCTCTTATGGTTGCAAATGAAGTTCCACGTTAGGCAGATCTACAGAGGTTGCTTCTGCTGTTGTGGAGGATGCAGAATCAGAACCAAACTCAGTGTCTGATTCATCTGGATCCCAGTCTTCATCGTCTGACTCAAATTCAACATCAGATAGTAAACTCTTGGCCTGAATCTCACCTCCTTCTTCACCATCCTCTCCCTCGTCTTCATATGTATCTAAATACGTGTCATCTCCTTCCTACAACAACGGAAGAGCACACAGGGAATGTGAGACCTTAAACACACAAAGACCATGATGGTGGAAAATTCGGGACAACAAAGTGATTATAGAGCAAAAGACATCATACATCCGTCTCCTCGTCCCCGGAAGAATAAGTCATGTCAAGCTTGTTGTACAAAACTTCATCTCCCTTGTCTTTTGCAAGTTCCACTTGTGCCTGACAGAATGGATTCAGCGTCTCGGGTTAGTTAATGTTGCTGAACAAAGAAAACACTTTCTTTCTCAGATCAGTAAAAGATAGAGATGAATAGATCCATACAATTTCAGCTCTCAGCTGCTCTGTTCTCGCCTGTACCGCTGCAATATGTTCTATAATAGCCTGTTTGATGCAAAGTATCCAAAAAAGAAACCAAAGTTAAGTGTTAGTCGTTATGGTTAATCACTTGATTACATTCAACAAAGGTTGTTTCGTGAACGAACCTGGCGTCTTTGGAGCTCAAGAGAACGCGCCAAAGCTTTCCTCTTTGTCAAGAGGTTTTTAGGCCTCATCTGGGAAGGACGCTTATAGTCTTTTCCTCTGTACACGATAATGGCATAGCCTTTGGAAATCTTGTCAACAGAAACAAGGACACCTCCACTCTCGGCTTCAAGGGCCATCGCCACTTTCTTGGCACCCTCAAAACTTTTAGCCTTCACAAGAATCTTGATCAGCTCTCGGTATTTCCAGTGTAAGTGCATGTTCTCCACAGTACCATCAAACACTCCTCTTCGACCTGACGCAATCAATTCAAGTTTCTCAGACAAGTCGACAACACATAGGTCCAACATACTTGACTTCATCATCAGCCTACACATGAGTAAAATCAAATTTTACCAAGAAGTAAGAAAGCTTTCATCCTCAATCCGAGCTTCTGGAACATAAACCTCTCTTCCTCAGTTATGCCCTCGACGTCTGTTCTAGGCTCTGCTGGCTTCAGAGATTCCTCCACCTTAGCCAAAGCCCGTTCAGCTTTCAGCAGCCTTTTCTCAGCCTAGAAGGGTTTATTGTAAAGTAATACAATGATCAATTTTTTTTAACAAAATATGTGAAATCTAATTTGATAGGTTAAGAAGTAAAGGCTCAAGACAGGAACTCACGAAAGCGAGTTTCCTTTCCAACTTCCTGACAAGATTCGCAGACCTCTGTTTCTCAGCCTCTTGTTTCACTTCCTCCACATGATCAGCATCATCCAGATTCTTTCCCCACTTACTACTTGCATCCAGAGTTTCTCCAAGAGTACCGGTCGAAACAAGGTTTTGATTAGCTTTAATACTTGTGACAACCAGAGCCGATGAAGCTCTTAGACGTGCCTGTTCCTCTTCGTCTTGCAAAGTCCTTGCAAGCCTCTCCTTCTCCACCAATGCTTCAGCTACTTCTGGTGACAAAAAACTCTTTCCTCTGTAGAAAACCAAGAAGTCTTTGTTCCTTGACAGCAGCATACCTCCCGTCAATCTCTGCAGTCACTTACCAAGATGATGATATCTAACATTCACCACCAAATATAAAAAACAGTTGCAATATATTTGCATGTTACTCAGATGTGAAACCTTATTACCTTGATGTCCTCAGCCATTCTCTCACTGGTAGTTAACTGTACACCACGTTTAAGCGCAACCTTAGCAATCAAACTCCTTTCCCATAACTTAACCATGGCTGTTGCCAACCCTTGCATCTGTCTACTTCGACCTGTACATCAAAAGACAAATCTCTCACTATTCAAAGATCTTATTAGGCTCTTACAAAAAGCCACAAAAGGAAGAATCCAAAATCAAGCACCTAAAGCAAAGTGTGGAGGAAGAACCGTAGCAAGTCTTCTTAACGAAGTCGCCTCCTTTTGTCCCAGAGTTGACCTCACTCCATAAGGTAGTACCCTGAAAGGAGGTTCGTAACCAGGAACGATCCCTGGAAGCAAATCAGCATCAACGGGTAACGGATAACCTCCCTGCCAGTCTGTGTACCGAGGACCAAGACCCTCTAACAGTTCATTTATCTCATCTTCATATTCTACTTCTTGTTGCGGTCTCCTATCTTGTTGAGGTGTCTCCTTCTCTAGCTGAGGAAGATGCACTTGTTGAACACTATGATCCATTGTACTTGCACTCGTAGGTAAGGACAACGGAGATGTCTCTGCTCTTCTGTATATTTGCTGCTTGTGTTTCACTGAGGCATCCTCGTTGCTGTTGTTTTTGTATTTGTACAAGGAGATTGAAGTCCCTGACCTCCATATCACCAAACCACCAGTTTTTCTCTGCCACAGTAAAGACATCACTAGTGTTATACACTTGACCATGAAAAAAGAATAGGACATGATAAACAATATTTTCAGTTAATTATTTCAAAGATATTTGCAGATGAGAGAGGAGGGTAATGCAAAAATGAACAATATTTTCAGTTATTATTTCAAAACTCCAAAGATCAAGCCTTTATAAACAATATTTTCAGTTAATTATTTCAAAGATATTTGCAGATGAGAGAGGAGGGTAATGCAAAAATGAATACACTGATTTAAGGATCATAAGAAGTGAAACCTCTAATATCTCATGCATCCGTCTCATGTTGAGCGCATTTGAACCTTCGATCTTTAGTCTCACAATCTCTGAGCTCTTCCACTTCTCATGAATTGCATCTACCACAGCCTGGGTAACACCTGCACCTTTAACTCTCATCTTGCTCTTTGTTCTAAACATCACATTCCTCAACCGGTTAAGCTCTGATTCCGGTAGAGTCATCTCCGCGAGCGAGTATCTACTCTCCTTCTTCGCCGTCCACTCTCCATTTATCAGCTCCTTATTCTCCCTAGAACTCACTTTTTCCCAAGGAAACTTAACTTCTCCATTGCTTCCATAGGCACCAAACGGCGATTCTTCTGAGTATCCGCCTCTCGTGTTCTCCATGTTCTCTTCTTGAAAACCGAATTCGTCCACCTTCCTCCTCTCTTGTTCAGTTTCATCATCTTGAAACTGATCATCATCCACGAATCCGAACTTTTTCAATTTCTCAACAATCCTCTCCATTGTACTACTCCCACCACCATCGCTAATTCCACTACTGTTTTCACCACTCGTGACCCTTAAATCCGAAAAGCTCTCTCCTTTACGATGATTCAACACTACCTTTGCAGGTTTAAACTGATTCTGCTTCTGGGTTCTGTTCCAATTCTCATTCCTACTGCTACTATTACCATCACAAGATAATCTCTTAACCCTTTTCATAGTAGAGAAACCGAATCTCCTCGATGAAATTTCATCACTTGGTGCAGCACCGTTATGTGACCTGAGCGAAATTGATGAGCCGTACCTTAAGAATCGAAAGGAACTGTTTCCATGGAACTCGCAGAAGGAGCTTCCCAAGGAATTAACAGCTGTTGGGCAAAAATGGCGGTTTGGATTCATCGTCATTTCTGAAAAAAAATTCACTCTTTCACAGAGTTACGAAAAACCCAGGAAAATTTAAATTCATAGAAAAAATCCCAATTTAAAGATTTCAGCTTTTTTTTTTTCGCGGATTCCTTCGGCTACGAGACGAAGCTCTCACTCTGTGTTATCCATGGCGGGGAAAGATGTGGAGATATTTAGAGGGTTGTTTGGGTACGTGGTCTTTCGAATCCAAGCCAAGAACAACCCATTTTAACAAACACGGCCCAAAAGCGCGTACTATAGTAAAAATATAATGGACCGTGACTAAAATGCGCCAATAGTGCGTAGAGAGTTCAGTAAAAAAATCTGGATTCATTTTTCTTCGATCAAAAACTTTTATTGCAGAGAGTAGAAATCTTATTTCCGTGTGTGCCTCTCGTTGTCCGTACGATCCGTTCGCTCCTCTCTTCTTCGAATTTTCTTCGAAGAGCAATCCATTTTTCGTCGAATTTTTTTTTCAAGGTTAGATTTTCGCCTTTAGATTTGCAAAAGTTCCGTTTTTATTTTTCTGGGTAATTAAACAGAACCCTTGTAAACACCGGAGGGTAGTGAATTTGGTGATAAAGGGAATCGATTTGATATGGGTTTGATCATACATTCGAAAAGTAGAGGGAAAGTTTCAGACTTTAAATTTTTACAATGGTGGGTTTCTTCTCTGAAAATGAAACATCGAACATGGAAGGTAGAGTTTTCGAATGGTCGTTTGTCTAGAATGGCATTTATTTCTCTGGAATTGTTGTAATCAATCTAAAGGAGATATCAGACAGTTACATATGTTTGTGTAGCTAGTTGGTATCGGAAGCATGAAAAGCAAGTACACCGATCCCTATTTCTCTGTAAGATTATTGTGATTTCGTTTAGAGTAGAGAAAAAGGAATCTTGTTGTTGAACTTTTAATGTTGATGCAGTTTCAGTGCTTTTCTAGGGTTTAATGTGAATGAGCAGCTTCAGTTTTAACTACTTTGCTTTCAATATCTTCTCTTGGTTAATTCCTTTGCTTCAATTTAGAACTGAGCTCTAAGTTTAACCTGCTTTAGCCATCATACATTTGCTTAATTTGATGGTTTATGAGTAGCTTTGTGGTTCTTGTTTATAGTTTCAGGACTCACTTTTGGGTTCACGGTTTGTATGATTCCTCCTTTGAACTTAGAATCTTCCTTATATTTTATTTCATCAGGTCACAAGATGTTTTCAGAGGTAGAGATGACTCGGGACGTGGCTATATGTAGCAAAGACTTGAAGAGCCAATCGCCACCACACCATCAGATTCTATCGAGACTACTCGAAGATCTCATGTGCGAGTCAGCTAGCAAGGAACACGGGTTCCATCTCGGCATCACCGCCGTTAAAAGCATCGGTAACAACAAGAACAAGAACGATGACGACCATCATCAAAAACAGGTCCTCACATTCCCGGTCTCCTTCACATGCCGCACATTCATGCCTGTGGAAGGAGATGTCTTGCAAGGTGTTGTGTACAAAGTGTATTCGAACGGAGCTTTTATCAGACCAGGCCCACTCAGACACGCGTACCTCCCGGCCGTGAAAATGCCGGCTTACCGGTATTTCCCGGCGGGTTCTGAGGAGGAGAAGGCGTGTTTTCGGAGAGAAGATCTCACCAAGATAGCTGCTGGAGTAGTTGTGCGGTTTAAGGTTTTGGCCGTGCGGTTTGTGGAAAGTAGACCGCACGAAAAAGGAAACGATGTGCACGTTCTGGTGACTTTGGAAGACGATGATGATACACTTGGTCCTATCTCTCTCGCAGGACCCGATGACCCGTACATGTGACTGTTGTAAGTCAAGGTTGAAGTCTTTTGATACATGTTGGTTTTAGGTTAATCTCAGTTTCGTATAGGTGAACAAACTCATCTCTCTCTCTCTCTAATTTACAGGTAACTTCTCTCTTTTATTCCCTTTATTTTTGATACATGTTGAAACCAATTTGAAATATACATGTATATTCGATACATTTGTAATGCGTACTCATTGATTCTATGGTTTACCTTTACGTACTCATTGATTCTATGGTTTACCTTTACTGGCTAGGTTTCAGTTTAATATTGTGAAATCAGCCACAAAGTTGATTAAAGACATAAAACTACACATACAATATATAATCATGACCCAAATTGTATCATTAGGCCAAGCCGAAAAACACAGCTGGTTAATTTGGGTTCGATCAATTTTCCTGGAAACTCAACCTAGCATATAAAAATTGATCCAAGTCAAACCGAATCGATAAGAAAATGTCTCTAACCAAAGTTAACCGAACCAATTTCGAGGGAATACAATTTGTTTTTGAAAATTTAGTAAGTTTAAATTAAAACTACGGTTTATGCAGTAACTTAAAAGAATGATCATTACATGGTTGAATATTATTGACGTAGTTCAGTTCGACTCAAGTTTTTGGTTTTACAGTTTTCATTTTATAGTATTTAACGTGAAACACTATCTAATATGGATGGCTTAATATGATCGTGATTTAGAGTTTTAATCAAATCTATTCTTAAATTTGAAAAAACTGGGTTCTAGATTTTTTTTCCCTTTCATTTCGTTTTAAATTTGGATTTAGTTCTAAGCATATAAAAGTAATAAATTCACTTAAATCATATTTAATTATGACTATGTGGTTGGCCCGCACATATGTACAGGTATAATTTTTTTGATATATATAATTAATTGTAATATTTAAATATTGATTAGTTTTTTTAAATATTGGTATGTTTGTATATATATATTGTTTTAATATTTCACAAACTTCTTTCTGAAACCAATGTATTTTAAAACTTTTTATATTTATAATGCTTGTAATAATATATAATCACAAATATAAAATTTATGTTTAATAATAATTAAATTCTTATAATATTTTTTAAATATTTATATAATATGCTTTATTTCTCCTTACACAATTTACGATATGCTTTTTTGCGTCTTACATAATATGAATTTGCAAATACATATATAATATATTTAAGTATATATTTTTCTTGATTTATTGCAAATTAAACTGAAATAGTTTTTACCATTTTTACTTATTCCTAAGAGCGGATAGATAATTGGCACGCATGTGCGAGCATACCAACCACTTCACTACACTTAGAATAGATAAAAATTTTTTAAAAAATATAAATTGTATAATAATTAAAATAAAAATTAGACTGTAATCAATCTTAACAAAATACATGCACGTAAAAGTTCGCATGTGACTTCAACTAATGTACAATTAATATATATGTATGTATGCGTATTTGTAAAAAATTAAAATATGGCTCTTACGTGTTAAAAAGTTTTTAAGTGACTTTGTAAAACAAAGTGCGAGAGATTTACTTTTATATACTTTTATTTTTATTTCTGATTTATATTGTTTCATCTTATTATAATTTATTTTTTCGTTCGGTTATTTTTTATTTCATTTATTATCTCAAAATTTTTATATACAATGAAAATAATTTTATTTATATATATATGCATATGCTATTATTTTTATTTAAAATATGAAAAAAGATAAGATGAGATGGTAACATAAGTTATGTACATTTTAGAAAACAACAATAAAAAGATGATAAAAGTTATAGAAAAATATATGGTCCTATTAATATTATAAAATAATAATTAGTATATACTTTATTCAATTAGTAAATATCGGTTTGAAAATAAAATTATTTAAAATTATGTTTTCTTAAAACCAATTCAATAAAATTCCCGATTCCATTCAAATACTACCCATTTGAGATCATTTATTTTAGTTAAATAGGTACAGGAAGAATACATATATGATGTTAAATATATGAATTATCCGTTTAGAATTTTTTTTCTTTTCAAAATTGTGTATAATTTTCCAAAATCTCTTTAACTTTTCCGAATATTCCTAAAATAGTTGTCTGAAATTTGACTTTTATTCAAGTCATTAAAGTTTGTAAATAGATTTTAAATAAGGTAATTTCTCAAACCATTTTTCGAACCGGTTTTGTTATCTGAATTTTGCATTCCTTTTTTTTTATCAGATTATTTTTGTGAACTGTTTTGTCTCTCCCAAATTAAAAATTTCCTTCATACACACGTAAATTTCCGTCTTGAATTCTGATACTCAGAATTTGTAGATCATTTTTCCATGTTTTTATTGTTTTATTTATTTATTTTCTAACAACAGTTTATAATGGTATGTTGATGTTTGCTATTCTTTATATTATTTTTGAAGATTATAAATGACTTTAAGTATTAGTTTATGTTTTTTTTTAAAGAATGAACGGTAATTAATGATGTGTATGTTAGGGTGACAAAACCAGAAGAGACAAAAAGTTATTTTATATATAGATATTCCAAAAACATCTCCACTTTTCTAAATCATCTCAAAATATTTGCCTCAAAGTTAGCATTTATGAAAATTATTGAAAGTTTGTAAATAGATTTTAGATACGATAATTTTTTGAATCGATTTTTTCCAAATTTCTTGTTCCTTTTTTTTATAAGATTACTTTTGTGAATTTTTTTTCTTTTCCAAATTACCAATTCTAGATACGTAAAATTTTGCCTTGAATTTTGTAATACTTAAAATTTATATATCATTGCTTTTGGTTTATTTATTTTTTCATGTTCTTGTTTATTTTTTTTTGACAATAATTTATAATTGTGTGTTAATGTTTGCTATTTTATAATATTTTTAGGATTATAATTAAATCTAAGTGTTAGTTTTTGTTTTAAAAAGTTTTAATCCTCTATATATCAATTGACAATGTAGTTTAATAAAAAATACTGATTTGTTTTAATTTGATTGGTTAATATGTTTAGTTTGAGCAATTTAAATGTGACATGAAAATGATGATGTAATGGTGACATGTCAAATTTTGATACATGTGTATTGTGACATGGTATTATTAATCTATAAATAAACTTTGATGTTAAAATTTTGTATAAAATTTAAGTACTCAAATTTTTGAAAAAAAAGGAAAATGAGATTTTTGTCAATTAGATTTGAAAGCTTTTGTTGGGAAAATTTACGGATTTCAAGTACTTAAAGGGAAATTTGTGGCAACCTATTTTGCCGGAAAGCTTTTGATATCACACTTTTGATATAAAATTTATGGATTCCCAATTTTAGGCAAAAAATTTCGAAATCAAGTTAAAATACTCTAAAATGAATATTTTGGTGCGAAAGTTACAAATTCATGTTTTTGGCGAAAATTCATGAAATCAAAATTTTGGCAAGTAGTTTTTGGAATCACATTTTTAATGTGATTTTTTGGTGATTTTTTTTATGTGTTTACTTTTTAGCGGAAAATTCACAAAATAGAAATTTTGATAAAATGTTTTTGGATCATATTTTTGATATATTTTTTGGTGAGAAAGTTACTTATTCATATTTTTTGGCAGAAAGTTTGCAAAATCGGATTTTTGATGGAAAGTTTTTAGAATCTTATTTTAAGTAAGTTTTTGGCAAAATATTTACAAATTCAAGTGTTTGTGTGAAAATTGCGAAGTCAGATTTTTAGAAGGAGAATTTTTTTACTTTTATTATCATTTTATTTTCTTCCTCTATAACTAAAGAACAAAAGTTTATATTATATATGAATATATTCTAATTATATAGCGAGAATTTAGAAACCAGAAATGAGGTAAAAACTGATGGAATGAGATGGAAAACTATAAAAATGAAAAATATGAATAAAAAATAGAAGATGAAGAATAAAGAAAAATTATATTATTTTATGTTTTAAAAAATATTTTAATTTTTGTGTATATTATAGTTTTTAAACTTATTAAAATATTTTTTCACAAACTAATTTTTTTGACAAATATATTAATGAACAGACTAATCACTTATTTATTATAAATGATATGTTATTGTTATTAATTACTTTTTATCAAAATTTTCATGCATACAGATATGTGCAGGCCAACTGCCTAGTAAAATGTAATTGAGGATGTAGATGCTGAGATGGTGTAACAAAAAGAAAGGAAAATTTACTTTATCTATATTTTCTAGATTTAGATTTAGTTTTACATGATGATTATTTTTATAAAATAATTATATCATTTCAACTTTAAATATATATATATATATATGAACTTTGATAATTGAATTAGTTATTGTAAAGGTTGCATGTCGATTGAAAACATACCAAAACATAGAGAAAATCTGGATAAGCAAATACAAAATCGTTTTACATCTTCCATCAACCAAAGATAATTAAGGGCTAGTTCTTTTATATGTTCGACTAGGTATATAATTCGCGCTACGCGCGAGTCTGTATTAATATTTTAGTTTATTTTTTTAGTTTTTATCTTAAAAATTATTAAAAAATATAATATATTTATAGAAATTTTTATTTATATAATAGAATTTAATATATAATGTGTAATTTATCCTATTTTTATTTATAATTTTTTAAAAACTATTAAGTAAAATAATAATAATGACATCTATAGAATTATCCAACTTTGACGTACATATACATTTGATTTAGAGAAATATAATTTTGCTAAGATTTTGGTATTATTTTCTGTTTTCCATAGAATTTTTATAATTCTTTTATTGTTAAAGGTTTATGTGTTCAAATATTTAGTTTTTTTATTGAAAGTCTTATTGATCTTGTGTACCACTGCATATATAATCCATGATTCATGTTGATTCATATTTAATTTTGTTAGGAAGCTGTAATGATCATGCAAAACCATTTTTCCCTTCTCCATCATATATTCCAAGAGTTTTATGTTATATTTTTATTCAGTTTTTATTATTTTAATTGTTAAATCATGTTGTTGTAGATTTTTTTTTAATTTGATAATGGTTACTATTTTTTTAAAACATGTATTGTTAATTGTTAATTTTTTATATACTTTTAAAATTTTAAACTATATTAAAATTTTCTGATTTAATAAATATGTTGATTTAGATCAATCATATTGAATTTACTTTTTTTTGGATAAAATTTGTTAAATTAACTTTTAATGTTTTAATTATACTTAGTAATTTTTGATTTGATTAAAAATATGATGTGGACCAATTAAATTAAGTTTTTCCGTCCTAATCATAGTTAACATTTTTTATTTAATGAATATGCTGATGTAAACCAATAATATCGAGTTTTTTAATCCCATGTGGACGTCTTCAATGCACTATACCACCAACTTTTATATATTACTAGGTAGCGCAAGTTTATATTAATAATTTAGTTTAATTTTGTTAGCTAATATCTTTTAAATTATCAAACTATAATAAATTTATAGAAATTTTGTTTTATATAAAAAAATAAAACATAATATGTAGTTTTCTTATTTTTGTGTATAAAATTATAAATATTATGAAATAAAATTATAGTAATGACACCTAACGAATTATCCAACTTCGATGTGCATACAATTGATTTAGAAAATGATTTTCTTATTAAATTTTTGGTTTTTTGTTTTGTGTTCTTAGGGTTTCTATAATTCTTTTTTTAAAGGTCTATATGTTTAAATATTTAGTTTTTACTAAATATCATACTGATATTTTGTACCTATATATATATATAATATGATATATGTTGATTCAGATTTACTTTTGTTAGTAAGATACACTAATCGTGTAAATGTGTTTTTTGCTTCTCCACCAAATCTTCTACGGATTTTAGTTTATATCTCTATTTAGTTTATATGATCTGTTTTATTTGCAATCAACTATTTGCTAATTTTTGTTTTTAAACATGTAAGATGGTGTAGAGACTTCATATTATCACTGTTTTTTTTTAGTTTTTTGTGTGTTTTATTCATGTTTTGATTTGAATAGTTTATCTATATATATTCTCATTTGAATTTGATTCATAACTTTGTCAAATTTTATTATTTAAATAAATTTTTAGAAAATGTTGCTCATGTGTTATTCATGTTGGCTAAGTTATAACATTAACTATGTATACAAATCAGACTTAATTACTTGTTATATTTTGAATGTAAAGTTACTTGTGTAGTATTTTTCTTTGTTACTTTTTAAACCAGACGCATCCAAATATTAGTCTTTGTAAATTTAAATAATATGTTTGATTTAGAAACTTGTATACCTACTATAACTTTATATGATTATTCATAGTCAATACCAATATTTTAGAAATCATGAATTGTTTTAAACTAAATTTCAAACTAACTTTCTTCTTAGATCTTATTTTTGTTATTTTAAATATCTTCGATGATAGTTTTATGTTTTATTTTGACTATCTAATTTTTTGCATATTTGATATACTTAAAACATATATATTTTTTAATTAATATCTTTTGTTATTGATTTTCCATATAGTTAGCATATATATTAATTTAATATCTTTTACATAAATATTTTTTCTTTGTTAAATTTACTTTCAAATTAATTAAAATGCTATTTTGACATGCTATAACTGATTATTCTAAAATTTTATGTGAACTTCTCTCAAAAGCTTATATCATCATGTGCATTTTAAAGTTAATATTGTTTTGGTAGTTTGCCTAAATATCAAGCTAATTTTACTTTATACGATTTTTTCCTTTGATAATTTACCTTTCCTGATATTAATTTTTATTTTATTTTAACATAATTGTTTTGAAAATATTGATATTCTGAAGACATAATTTCATTTTTTTGTTATTTAAATGTTTTATATGTATTTATATGTAGTTAGTCAGATATCAAGTCAATATATTTTTATGTGTTTTTAAAAAAATTTAACATTATGTAAAATATAATTTTTCGTTTTAGTTTTTTTGTTAATTAATTTCTTAATATTGATTTTTAAAATAATTCGCTTAAATATTTATATTATTTTTGTTAGTTAAGTTTTTTAGTATTACTTAAGTTTTTTTATTTCTCTTACTTATTATTTTTATATTGTTTTTGTTAAATAAATAACATAGATATCAAGTTAATATCTTTTTTATTGTTAAATTAATTTTTTTAATATTTACTTTTATTTTAATTGTATTGATCTATTGTAAGAAATAATTTATGTTTTATTGTTTTTTAGTTTAACATTTTTATATTGTTTTCTTTAGAAATTAGCATAAAGTATCATTTTTGGTTAGTTAAGCTTTTTGTGTTAATTTTCTAAATAATTATCCTAAATATAAAGTTTTAGATGACTTTTTCTTTTGTTAATTTAACATGAATATTTTTTTGTAGTATTGATATTTTTAAATAACAATTTTATATGTTTATGTAAAAATTTAATTTTAATATTTGTTTTCTAAATAATTACTTATTTAATATACATATGCTAACAGTTTTTTTTATTTTAATTTAGCTTTTTGTTATTGATTTACATATTTATTTTTGTTAGTTTAGTTTTTGTGATAATGAGTTTCTATTTTATTTTGACAAATGTTATAGATTTAGATTTTTTGACATAAATTTATTTTATTTAGTTAAAAAATTATCTTAATTTTCTGTTCTACTATGATAATTTTATATTTTTGCATGTTTTAATTTATTTAAATTATTAATAGTATTTAATATTTTTATGTTTAATAAAAAATGCTGGTATAGACCAATCAAATTAAGTAAATGTGTCATATGTGGACGCTCTCATTGGCCTAAGACATCAACACGGACCACAAGTAATATATTTTAAGTTAGCAGTTCAGATTTTAATTGTTTGTCATGATTAAAATTTTAAAATAATTTAATCATGGTTTTAGATGCAGTTTTTAATTATTTTGTTCAGTATATATGATTTTTCTTTCATAATCTATTTATATGTTAATTTACTTTTTATTGTTAATAAAAAATAAGATCTATTTTCAAAATTTTTTTTACTAATAACTAACTTAAAATTTAGAAACTTTCCTAATAACAACAAAAACGAAATTAATTAAAATTTAAAAAAATTTCTTATAACAACTAAAACGAATTAATTAATTTTAATATATAATATATAATTAACTAAACATAATGATGATGTGTACCAATAGAATTGAATCTTTAAATCCTATGTGGATACTCCTAGAGGCATTTAGCATCAACTTTTATTAATAATAGATATGATGTATAATCTATACTGTTCAAAGAAATTGACAAATTGTATGGATTGAAGTGAACGACACTAAACTGAGGCAATGGTAGGGTATGTATAGGAGATTCTACGACGACAATATTTATCTTAAGATAGATTCATTTTTGGTAGGAGTATTAGGATTTCATAAAATCTTGCTTGTAATTTTTTTTAAATGGATTTAGTATCAGCATATAAAAATAAGGTGAGTTCATTTAAATCATTTTTATTATGATTGATTTTTAAGTTGGATAATTTGTTGGTTCATATATTGATTTGTCCGGATTTAGATTTGGTTTAAACGACGATTTCTTTAAATTAAATTATACTACAATTTCAACATTTAGTTATTATAAATGTTGCGTGACGATTGGAAACATACCAAAACATAGAGAAAATCCATTTAGGAAGATACTTAATCATTCTACTTCTTTCATGCAAAATAAGGTCTAGTGCGGCTGGTTCAAGATCCACCCCCAGTAGTGCCTTCATATGTTCAATGTATTAAGGAATTATATGGACTGAACGACATCGAAACTGAGGCAACAGTAAAAAGAAGTTTATGTTATGTCTAGAAGATTTTAGGAGGATAATATCTATCTATGGTAGAAACTCTCAAACTCAATTTCGATAAAATAGGGTTTCATAAAATCTTATAACTCGTAAGTCTTTTTAAATTTATAAAACCTGAAAATATATTGGAAAAAAAAATTGTAAAGTGTAAGTAACATCCGGCAGAACTCAGACAAGAGCTTATCAGTTCCAGCAAAAAATAGGACGGCTCGGCATAAATGGTGGAGCCAATGAGAGAATCTCACGAAGGTGATTAATATAGAGAATGGCCTAGAAGCTCCAGACACGACCTGCCTATCATTGGATGCCCAGAAAAGCCATCTCGATCCTTAAGGCTCTTCGTCATCCTCAGGCTCAGTTAAGAGTCTCCTCAAGCATGAATACCATCTCAGCCATGTCTCGCAAAGACATCCGTTCAGGTAAGTAGCCTCCTCTAGCAAGTCCTCCATCGATACAAAACACCTTCACTCTTGAGCGATACGACAGACATTCAATAGTATTGATGATATTACCACCAAACTAGCAGATATGAGTCATAATTCGTGGACACAACTCCTCACCTTAACTAATGTATAAAGATGTATACATGATAATTATTGAAATTGTGAGTATGTTTGTCTTATTACTGATGGATATCATTCATCATAAGTATTTTTAATAATAATATTAAAAACAAATTTGATTATTTTTATTGCTTTAAAAATTAAACCAGGAATTGTTATATAAAAATAAGATAAAAGCAGATATTTTTATTAAAAAGACACTGAAATTACTAAGTCACTGGAGGCTTGGGTTGAAGTTTGCGACCGTAAGAAAAGATTATTATATAGTCAGCAGCTGAAGCTCCCAGCGTTGTACATATTGTATGAGGAGATCCAAATGCAATCCAATACGTCAGTACATCACATAGCACCACTGATGGTACCAAAGGCACATTTCCCAAATATAGTTCCACCTGAAATTAATCCACAAAACACAATGTTGAGTTTGCTTCTTATCAATATATCGTTATGTGGAATCAAACTAAAATTGTAAGAAAGAAGAGGAAGAGGAAGTCACCTCATCCTCGCTTTCGAGACGGAGTTTCATTGCAATGTACTTCTGAATGTATGAAACAGGTAAGTTACCGTTTCTGTGACGATCAGCAAGCAAAGAATCATCAATAGTTTTTTTTTTTTTATTGTAGTTGAATGGACAAAGGTATAGACTAATTTCAAAGAGAAAGAAGAAGTGAACATACCTAACCCTCAAGTAACGATTGTGGAGTTGTGGCAATGGTGCATCGGTATCCCTGAAAGACAAACAAGATCATGTTTTAATATTAGACATACATTTAAGCAAGACAATGAAACAAAAACAAGAGAATTAAGAGATAAAAACGAAAGTCTTACTGATCCTTTAAAGCAAGTAATGTAAACCATATTGGAGTATCAGCAGCAGCAGCAGCAGAAGTTTCATTTCGTGAAGCATTCGCCACAGGATCAGCAGCTATTTTTGTTTTACCTTTCACTACAGAACCAGAAGAACTTGCTATGCCTTTTCCCTTGTTAACATTTGGTTTCACCAAGAGAGGATTACCATTTTCTTCAACACCAGAGGGTTTCTCCTTTGTAGCTTCATTGGATAGAGAGGCATGTCCATTAGCTCTTTCACCAGTTGGTGTTTGCGTCACCAATGTCCCATCATCTCCAGCCTTAACAAGCGTCAATGGCTTGACATCTTTCATATCTATCGTGGGCTTGATCGTGACAGGAATGCTACCGGTGAGTATCAGATCTTTCATATCTAACAAAAAAGTTCACAAGATGGTTTGCTCATATATCCATTTTAAAAAAGTCGAAATGAAAAAAAAAACATCATAATTAGAGGGAACTGAGATCTCACTTTTGTAAAGACACTCGTTCGGGGATGTGCCTTGTTCGTTGATGGATGGGCCCTGTTCAGTTAAGTCGTTACAAACAATTACAACAATCGAAACAAAACGAAATACAGATCTTTCGCACAAAAAGAAAAGTTATATATAAAGAAGATTTGAAGACCAAGTATCAATAATATTATGTTGTTTGTTGGATCTGTTAGTTTAATTATTATAATGAAAATATGTGAGGATGCTTATGGGTTCTTAAGCAGAGCTGATATATTAAAAACAGACAAATAGAAGCGCACAGTATACCTTTGTCTTCTGTAGCTATGGAGGTGACTTTTAGTTTTTGACTTTCACAAATACCTTCTTGAAAGTATGATAATATAGTGTCAAACTAGGATTCAGATGTAAATTAAATTAAATCATTTTAAAAAAGCTTCCAATTTTTAATTGTTGTATTTTTTTTATTACTTCTGTATATAAAATGTTAGTAGTGTTCATGAATGACAGCTCATTTATATTTTTTATATATGTTATATGCAAACAATAAAAGGTTATTCTATATTTTATATATTAACGGCAATTTTATTATACTTCTATAGTCAGAGTATTTATTTTAATTTTATTTTTTATTACTCTATTATATATATAACCCTTTTAAGTATAAGACTATTTTGAGAAATTGTTTTTGTCATCCTTTGGATGATGTTGCCAAAAAAAATATTTTGACTAAAATGGTCAAACTTATAATTTTAGGGCTATGATATTTCCATATACACCCGAAAACGTTTAAAATTAAGTTGACATGATACAGCTTTGCATTGGCATTCTTATCTAAATAAACAATTAATTAAGTTGACATGATCAAATCTTGACCAGCTTGTCTCAGTTCATTTTTTTAGAGAACTTTCCATTGAGAGTTTTTTAGAGAGTATTTCTTTTTTTTTTTTAGAGAGCATTTCAATAAAATAAATTAATAAAATAATAATAAAAAATGAGATAGATATCTTAGATGAAAGATCTTTATATATTTAAAAAACTCAAAAAAAAACACTCATCTTCTTATGAATGATTCCATTCTTTTCTTACATTCAAAATTAATTAAAAGCAAAATTATAAAATTCATCTAAATAAAATTTTAGATGAAATATTCAAAAGAGTATATAACCAATAAAAGTGCTCTTAAACTAACATGAGAAATACAGTTTTTTTTTTGAAACATTTGTTATTTTAAAACCACGGTTTTATGCAATAGTAACTTAAGAACAAATGTCATATGCGTGCATTTTTCGTCAAATACATTTAAATTAGAACAAATATATATAAAAAAATTATTATTGCTTTAACTAGCATGTTTAACCTTGTATCCAAATATTAAATATCCATGGTCTCTTTATAGAGAGTCAAATTATAAAAACACACAGGTTTCAGGTGTTGCCAGGAGACTGAGTCACCGGATTCTTGAGCGGAGGTTTGCCTCCGTAGGAGAGGACCACCATATAGTTAGCGCCTGAAGATCCCATCCTTGGAGATACAGTCGCAATATAGTATCCTAATAATTGATATAACAACATGGATGATTGCAAAACCAAGTCCTTTATTAAGTATAACTCCACCTGCAAGCCACAAAACCCCAATATAGAGTTTCCCTCTTTTAAATGAAACCAAAGGTGTCAAAAAGAGGAGGAAGAGGAAGTTACCTCATCCTCGCTTTCGAGACTGAGTTTCATTGCAATGTAGTTCTGGAGACATGAAACAGGTAAGTTACCGTTCCTGTGACGATCAAGAAGCAAAAAGAATCATCAAAACAAAAAACAAAAACAAAAAAACCGTAGCTAAAAGGACAAAGGTATTGACTAGTTTCAAAGTGATGAAGAAGTGAACAATGAACATACCTAACCCTAAAGTAACGATTGCTGATTTGCGGCAATGGTGCATCGGTTTCCCTGAAAGACAAGCAAGATCATGTTTTAATATAAGACGCACGTACATTTAAGCAAGACAATGAAAAAAAAAAGAAAAGAGAAGAGATAAAAAAGCTGAGGTATTCTAGAGTCTTACTGATCCGTTAAAGCGAGTAATGTAAACCATAATGGAGTATCTATGTTTATGGTAACATTAGCGGCAGAAGCAACAGCAGCAGAGACAACAGCAGAAAGTTCATTTCGTGGTGTATTCACCACAGGACCAGCAGCTGTTTTTGTGTTACCTTTCCCTTTAGAATCAGAAGAAGTTGCTATGCCTTTTCCCTTGTTATCATTTGGTTTCACCAAGAGAGGATTACCATTTTCTTCACCACCAGACGTTTCCCCCTTTGTATCTTCATTGAATGGAAAGGCATGTCCATTAGAAATCAAGCTCAATGGCACATCATACATTGGGTCATCAGCTCTTTCACCAGTTGGTGTTTGCGTCACCAATGTTCCATCATCTTCATCCGTACCAAACGTCGATGGCATGGCATCTTTCGTAACTATCGTAAGTTCGATGGGGACAGGAATGCTACCGAAGAATATCACAACTTTGTTGTCATTTTCATCAGTCTTAACGGGTACCAGTGGCTTGACATCTTCCATAGCTATTGAAATCAAAATAGGTCATGAAAGTGAACAGTAAATGCAAGGTCAGGCAATAACATAACTATATAACCAATTTTTAGATAATTAATTTATTTATTCAAGCATATTTATATGAACATAACAATTTTCTATGAACGATAAAGAGTTGGTTATATATTCACACAGAATATAACGCTAATGGTAAACGACAGCCCACGTCGATCGATTGTATAACTATTAGATGTGTTTAAGTTCAAAGACAAACCACTAATGATGATAATTTGCTACTGAAAAGTATCCATAACGAAACGAAGAAAACATTATAATTAGAGGAAACTGAGGACTCACCTTTGTGGAGACACTCGTTTATGGATGTGCCTTGTTCAAGTAAATCGTTACAAATGTCACAAGTCTCCCTCGCCATCTTGGTTTTGACTCTTCTTAATTAATTCCTGTACCAACAACAACAACAATCGAAACAAAACGAATTACAGATCTTTAGCAAAAAAGATTTGAAGACCAAGCATCAATCATATTATGTGGTTTTCTGGATCTGTTTGCTTAATTATTATAATGAAATATGTGACTGTCAAATGGGTTCTTAAGCAAATCCTGATATATTGAAAACAAATAAATAGAAGTACACATATACATTTGTCTTTTTAGCTATGGAGGTGGCTTTTACTTTTTAAATTTCACAAATTCCTTTTGAAACTAGGATATACATGGAGTGTCCAACTAGGATTCAGCTGTAAATTAAATTAATTCATTTTAAAAGCTTATAATTTTTAATTATTGTAAATCTTTTACTTCTATGTATGAAAGTTTAATAGTGTGCAAGAAGGACAGCTCGTATTTTATAATTGTTATATGCAAACAATAGAAGGTTATTTTAGATTTTTTATATTATAACATGCATGAATTTAAATTTAAGGAAATATTATAAAAATATCCTTAATTTAGACTAATTTTTAAGGAAATCATAGCTTAGACTACTTAAAAAAATTGAATAATTTTACTAATAATTTTTTATTACACTAGTATACATAAACCTTTTAGTTATAAGATGCAAAAGCTATTTTTGAGAAATTATTTTAAAGATCTTTTGGATGATGTTGCAAAAGAAAATATTTAACTAAATTTGTCAATTTTTTTTAATTTTTGGGATTATGATATATCTACGTACATCCGAGAATGTTCGAAATTAAGTTGACATGACTTAGCTTTGCCGTGGAATTTTTATCTGAATAAACAATTAAGTAAGTTAACATGACCAAAACTTGACCAGTTTGACCAGAGTAACAATGCTTATTTCTCTGGAATTTGGTTTTGGTTTTCCTTAGAGAAATATTTTTGTACTAGGTGTTTTCCTTGTGCGGTGTTCGAATAATTTTTTAAACAAATTAATAACATTAATTTATTTATATATAGAAAAATCAGATTTTATAATTATTCAAAAACAACATTAATATATTTAAAAAATATAATTTTCATTAATATATAATTTTTTTGTAATAAAACAAAATATATTATTTATATCTTTTTCAAATATCTTTCATATTATACAATAAAAATTATATGTATACTTTATTTTTTTGTTGCATTTATTAAACATGATGAATAATTCTCTTCTTTTGGTGTAAATGGGCAGATTAAGAATAATGAGATTCAAAGTTTGCATAAAAAACATAGCAATCCAAAATCAAAGGATCCTTGTTTAATATCAACTTAACATTAATTAGTTTTTTAATTTTTGTTTCTGTTACCTACATTGTGGTTTTGCCAAATGTTTAATATCTCCAATTGTGATATATATTAGAGCATAAAGATCTTTAACATGAGAGCTCAAATCATACTTTTGTGATGTTATATTTGCATAGTTATATATGTGATTAAACCAAATTAACCTCAATTTAAACGAACCTTGACTCAAGCATTATGAACATGTATTATCAATTCTTTATCTTTTGTTTCCTTGGCATATTGACTGGCTAGCTCTCTATAATTTTACGGTTATTTGGCCTTGTGAAGCTTTGTAAGCCAAGCACCAACATCCACAGTAATTTGGATGAACTTCTTCTCCTTCTCTCCACAACATATTGCATGTAAGTTTCTTTTGCCTCGAAGGTTCGCGAATCTTAGGACTTTGATTTTTGTTTCAAGTCTTGCCTTGAGGAGAAAGGAACCAGAGCTAGAAGAAACATAATCTTAAGGCCAAATCCAAGAAGAGGTATGGGTACTCCAGCGAACAAAACAACCTCCTCCTTCTTATACTCAAAATTGCCATCGTCAAATATTCTCCACTTCCATTGCTTGTAATCGCCTAGGAAGATCTCAGAAATTAGGTAGTAAACTTCACAACTACACATAACATAGCAATAGATTTTTGAACAAAATCAAATCATCAATAGTGTCCACTGCGGTATGTTTAACAGTGTCTTGGATTGGGAGAAAGATATGTTTCAGGATCGAACGCATGTTATGGGTAGTAGAATCAGAGATTGGTAAGTTATGAATCATATTCGGACCTGCGACCGATCTCAATTCACATGGAGGGTTAGTCTTACCTAGGACTATTACCTTGAGCCCTGGAGATTGTTGAAGACATCAACTCTTATGTCCCAATTGTCCACACATAACACATTTAGTGGGAACCCATGCCTACTTGACCATTTACGTCAGCATTTTGGTTACTTTGTGCAAACATATATGTCCCCCCCCCCCCCACCAAAATTATAAGATGCAAAAGCTATTTTTGAGAAATTATTTTAAAGATCTTTTGGATGATGTTGCAAAAGAAAATATTTAACTAAATTTGTCAATTTTTTTTTTAATTTTTGGGGTTATGATATATCTACGTACACCCGAGAATGTTCGAAATTAAGTTGACATGACTTAGCTTTGCCGTGGAATTTTTATCTGAATAAACAATTAAGTAAGTTGACATGACCAAAACTTAACCAGCTTGACCAGAGTAACAATGCTTATTTCTCTGGAATTTGATTTTGGTTTTCCTTAGAAAAATATTTTTGTACTAGGTGTTTTCCTTGTGCGGAGTTCGATTAATTTTTTAAACAAATTAATAACATTAATTTATTTATATATGGAAAAATCAAATTTTATAATTATTCAAAAACAACATTAATATATTTAAAAAAATATAATTTTCATTAATATATAATTTTTTGTAACAAAACAAAATATATTATTTATATCTTTTTCTAATATCTTTCATATTATACAATAAAAATTATATGTATAATTTGTTTTTTTGTTGCATTTATTAATCATATTCAGACCTGCGGCCGATCTCAATTCACATGGAGGGTTAGTCTTATCTAGGACTATTACCTTGAGCCTTGGAGATTGTTGAAGACATCAACCCTTATGTCCCAATTGTCCACACTTAACACATTTAGTGGGAACCCACGCCTACTTGACCATTTACGTCAGCATTTTGGTTACTTTGTGCAAACATATATGTCCCCCCCCCCCCCCCCCATCAAAATTATAAGATGCAAAAGCTATTTTTGAGAAATTATTTTAAAGATCTTTTGGATGATGTTGCAAAAGAAAATATTTAACTAAATTTGTCATTTTTTTTTAATTTTTGGGGTTATGATATATCTACGTACACCCGAGAATGTTCGAAATTAAGTTGATATGACTTAGCTTTGCCGTGGAATTTTTATCTGAATAAACAATTAAGTAAGTTGACATGACCAAAACTTAACCAGCTTGATCAGAGTAACGATGCTTATTTCTCTGGAATTTGATTTTGGTTTTCCTTAGAGAAATATTTTTGTACTAGGTGTTTTCCTTGTGCGGAGTTTGATTAATTTCTTAAACAAATTAATAACATTAATTTATTTATATATGGAAAAATCAGATTTTATAATTATTCAAAAACAACATTAATATATTTAAAAAATATAATTTTCATTAAAATATAATTTTTTTTGTAACAAAACAAAATATATTATTTATATCTTTTTCTAATATCTTTCATATTATACAATAAAAATTATATGTATACTTTCTTTTTTTGTTGCATTTATTAAACATGTTGAATAATTCTCTTCTTTTGGTGTAAATTGACAGATTAAGAATAATGAGATTCAAAGTTTGTATAAAAAACATAGCAATCCAAAATCAAAGGATCCTTGTTTAATATCAACTTAACATTAATTAGCTTTTTAATTTTTGTTTCTGTTACCTACATTGTGGTTTTGCCAAATGTTTAATATCTCCAATTGTGATATATATTAGAGCATAAAGATCTTTAACATGAGAGCTCAAATCATACTTTTGTGATGTTATATTTGCATAGTTATATAAGTGATTAAACAAAATTAGCCTCAATTTAAACGAACCTTGATTCAAACATTATGAACATGTATTATCAATTCTTTATCTTTTGTTTCCTTGGCATATTGATTGGCTAGCTCTCTATAATTTTATGGTTATTTGGCCTTGTGAAGCTTTGTAAGCCAAGCACCAACATCCACAGTAATTTGGATGAACTTCTTCTCCTTCTCTCCACAACATATTGCATGTAAGTTTCTTTTGCCTCGAAGGTTCGTGAATCTTAGGACTTTGATTTTTGTTTCAAGTCTTGCCTTGAGGAGAAAGGAACCAGAGCTAGAAGAAACATAATCTTAAGGCCAAATCCAAGAAGAGGTATGGGTACTCCAGCGAACAAAACAACCTCCTCCTTCTTATACTCAAAATTGCCATCGTCAAATATTCTCTACTTCCATTGCTTGTAATCGCCTAGGAAGATCTCGGAAATTAGGTAGTAAACTTCACAACTACACATAACATAGCAATAGATTTTTGAACAAAATCAAATCATCAATAGTGTCCACTGCGGTATGTTTAACAGTGTCATGGATTGGGAGAAAGATATGTTTCAGGATCGAACGCATGTTATGGGTAGTAGAATCAGAAATTGGTGAGTTATGAATCATATTCGGACCTGCGACCGATCTCAATTCACATGGAGGGTTAGTCTTACCTAGGACTATTACCTTGAGCGCTGGAGATTGTTGAAGACATCAACCCTTATGTCCCAATTGTCCACACTTAACACATTTAGTGGGAACCCATGCCTACTTGACCATTTACGTCAGCATTTTGGTTACTTTGTGCAAACATATATGTGCAAAAGATAAGGTAAAAACTCTTTGATGATAAAGTTCAAAAGAGACAACATGAAAGGTCGAATGGCGAAGAGCAAGATCAAGAATTGGTTTCAATTCCGTATTTAAAATTGAAGATAAACATAGATATTATATCAATTTTTAGTTAAAACTTGAAACTGAAATTAAAAACACTCGATTTGAAGGAGGAAAAAAGACAGAGTACTTGAATAATAGTAATAATAGCATTACTGGTTTTCGACTCCAACAAAACTCTCAATAAAACCATAACTTCCAATCTTCCATGACTGGTTTTTTTAAAAAGATTAGACACCTAAAACGAAAGTTGTAGAGAGAGACGTGCGGCTGCCGATCGATCTAGATTGTTTTATAAACTTTGTTTTAATATATGTAGAGTTCCAAAAGGGTTTAAAAGATTTAGAGTTTTACTTGTGGCCGCATAAATCAATTAGGTTAGTTAAAAATATTAGTAAGCTAAACGATCAAATTAAAGTTAGTTTAATAAAATAATTAAGTTTAATATTTTTGTGATTTATGTTAGTTACCTTTTTTTAAGTAAACTGAATATTTTTTTTTGATATAAACTCGAATTTGGAAATTTTAATTAAAAAACGAAAATCAATTAAAAATTAGATTTGTTAATTAACTAATTTCATTAAGGATAATTAAAGTCTTTTCATATAAGAGGTAAAAAGGTAAAGAGTAATCAACCATCATAATTCTTAATCACAACTCAATTTATTTGCCAATTAATAATATAATATGCTTGTCAATTAATAATATAATCGTATTAAAATCTACTAAGAGTATAACTTTCCTAGATACTGTTGACCATAGTACTTTTATTTGGGGTTCTTGTAAACTGAAACTGCTAACTTAGTCTTGTTGGTAAACTTTAACACGACATATCTATATATATAACCAGAACTCAAATTTTTTTTTTTTTTTCTGAACTTAGAGCTCAAAGTTGATCATCAAATGAAACAGGAACATAAATTTAACAACGCGCTTTTGTAAAAATTGATCGAAGTCAAACGATTAGGCCGCTCCGGATGGCCGTTACCACGCAACAGCGATTCCACCCGATGCAGTCCATCTGCCCAATATGTTTGTGAAGCTATATACCGACATACACTGTTGTACTCAACCGGTACGAGGAACCCAACAGACAATCCATATCGGCATACACCGCTCCAACCAGCCGCTGCGTCGACTTTTCCAATTTTTACTTTGGATCCAGTCTGCTTTGTGCCGGATGGACTTGCATCATTTTATCCCTATATATCAATACTAATTTAGTTCGAATTTATGTTAATTATATTATAGCTTATTTTCTCTGCCTCTTTTAGACTAAAAACAATCATCGTGTTGAATCTATAGAAGTATTAGTAAATGTATCTTTTTTCCTTTTTTTAATCTTTCAATATGACTTGCATTTCTTATTTGTTTGTTGTTTATACATTAAATATAAGCGAGTAGTTTATTTAATAAGTTGAGAGCGTTGTAGGTTAGGATGGGCTGATGATTGAAAAAATGATGTTTAGGACAATATCTTCTTGATATCCTCTATTTAAGTTGTTTTTAAGGTTAGATAATGCTTTAGATAACCAAAATCTTGGTGTTAAGGATTTCCCATCCTGCAATTGTTTGTGGAAATGGTCGACAGAGCTTGCATTGACTTTTCTTCCCTAATCAATGAAAGTTGATGTTTGGGTGATTAGTGGACTTAGTGAACTAGTGAACTAGCTTGTCAATGCTCATTAGCTCTTCATCTAACAAATGAAAGTTTAGATAAAAAATGATTAGTAATATGATTATTGCCACGAAAGTGGACTATTTCAGCTTAGTGATTCTTGCCACAAAAACAAGTGGCCTAGTTTAGCTTAGAGCTAGTGCAAGAAGTCAAGAAGACACAAGAATTCAAATTTAATCTAAACGCAATAAAGAGATCGGTTTTGGTTTTGTTTAAGTTATAAACCAACCATAAGAATCAAAATGAAACTAGATTAAGCAATAAGTAAACAAGAACGATTTCTAATATTGTGACAAGAAAAAGCAATGAGTCAAAAAGCAAAGCAATCGGTTCGTACGGATGACAAAAGAACAATGATGCTAGCACATGCAAATAAGACCAATCCTAGGACAAGAATGTTTTTTTTATGGTTTTAGAAAAGAAGTTTACATGGTTTTAGAAAAGATACTTTAGAGTAAGAACAATTTAACCATGAAAATGAACATGAGTTGCATGATAATGAATATATATATATATATTGAATACACCAGCTTGAGTTGAATTACGGTGTTGCTCTCTCTAACTTAAACACCACTTTCACCAGTTGGTGTTTGCGTCACCAATGTCCCATCATCTTCATCCATTCCAAACGTCCATGGCATGACAAGTTTCGTAGCTATCGTACGGTCGATCGTGACAGGACTATTAATGCTACCGAAGAATATCACAAATTTCTTGTCATTTTCATCAGTCTTAACGGGTATCAGTGGCTTGACATCTTCCGTAGCTATCGAAATTGAAATAGGTCATGAAAGTGAACAGTAAATACAGGGCCAGGTAATAATATAAGCATATAATTAATTTCTAGATAATTTATTTAATTATTCAAACACATTTATATGAATATAACAATTTTCTATGAAAGATTAAGAGTTGGTTATATATTCACACAGAACATAACGCTAATGGTAAACGACGGCTCACGTCGACCGATTGTATAACTATTATAAGTGTGTAAGTTCAAAGACAAACCACTAATGATGATAAAATAAAGAATGCATGGAACCCAACAAAACAAAGTTGAAATGAAGAAAACATTATAATTAGAGGGAACTGAGGAGTGAGGACTCACCTTTGTGGAGACACTCGTTTATGGATGTGCCTTGTTTAATCAAATCGATACAAATATCACAAGTCTCCCTCGCCATCTTTGTTTTGACTCTGCTTAATTAGTTCCTGCACCAACAATAACAACAATCGAAACAAACGAATTACAGATCTTTAGCATAAAAAAAAGGAAAAATGATATATAAAGATTTATTGTTGATCGTAAGAAGATTTGAAGACTAAGTATCAATAATATTATGTGTTTGTTGGAACTATTTGCTGAATTATTATAATTGAACATGTGAGTGTGCAGATGGTTCTGAAGCAAATCTGATATATTGAAAACAAACAAATAGAATTCTATTTAACTACACATATACCTTTGTTTTCTGTAGCTATGGAGGTGACTTTTACTTTTAACTTTCACAAATTTCTTCTTGAAACTATGATATATATATAGTTTCAAACTAGATTCGGATGAAAACTGAAAATTATTTTTAAAATCTTCCAATTTTTAATTGTTGTTAATTTTCTTACTTCTAAATATGAAAATTTAGTAATTCTCATGAATGACAGATCATATTTTATATTTGTTATATGCAAACAATAAATGGTTATATTATATTTTCTATATTATATAACATGCATGAATCGAAATTAAGGAAATATTTAAAACAAATCTCCTCAATTTAGACTAATTAGCTTAGATTTATCTTAAAAACTATTTTCTATCTTATACAACATGCATGAATCTAAATTAAAGAAATATTTAAAACAGATCTCCTCAATTTAGACTAATTAGCTTAGATTTATCTTAAAAATTTAATAATTTAATAAATATTTTATATTATAAATAAACCTTTTAATTATAAGATGCAAAAGCTATTTTTGAGAATTTTGGATGATGTTGCAAAAAAAAAAAAGAAGAAAAACTTAACTAAATTTGAAAATTTGTAATTTAAGGGGTTATGATATTTCTATGAACACCCGAAAAATTGAAAACTTAGCTTTGCATGTGGCATTCTTATATGAAGAAACAATTAATTAAGTTGACATGACTAAAACTTGACCAGCTTGTTTCAGTTCATTACTTATACGAACATGAGAATACCAATACATATAATCTTGTATCGTATTATGTTAAACTTGAAAGAAAGGTTGCGTTCTTTATTGATACGAGAAAAGTATAAATAGTACAAGGTATCTAGTCTAAACTACCTAAAGAATAATAGGAAATTAGATATACATGAGGATAAGAAAATATTAAAAAAAAATTCTAATACTTTCCTTCAAGTTGGAACGTTTAGATCATCACAAACACCCAATTTAAGAAAAAAAGGAATAAGAATTGTTGGGCCCCAATGCCTTCATAAGAAGATCAGTGAGCTGGTCCAACATACGAAGGTGAGAGGTAGCAATGTTACGGGATGAAATGACAATCTTTTTTGTGAAAAACTGGATTGACAACAGTATAAAGAACGGATTTGCTATCACAAACAAGCTTTATTGGAGACGTGTGAGAATAAGAAAATATACATTTAGAAGATATAAAAGATATCATAATCTTTTAATTTCCTGGAGCGTTTAGATATAAAAGATATCATAAGGAAAACACCCAACTTATGAAATGGGTATAAGAATTGTTGGTGCCCCAATGCATTGATAAGAAGATTAGTGAGCTGGTCCAACGTCTAATGTGAGAGGTGGCAATGTTACCGTATGTACTTTCATCACAGATGAAGTGACAATCTGTTTCATTATGTTTATTATTAGGGATAATATCCCACATCAAAAGTTGGAAGGAATTCTAACTAATATATAAAAAGCATGGGCTAATCCACTTACCGCCAATTAGTTTTAGGTTAGAAATCCATATAACTTTACATGGTATCAGAACCCGATCCAAACAATCCAATCCGATCCATAATCGATATGTGACCCAAAGATGGTCCGTCGATCCTTGCCCAAACATTACCGAGATCAATGGCCAAAGTAGCCATCGTCTCGCGGGGGCGTATTAGGGATAATATCCCACATCGGAAGGAATCCTAACTAATATATAAGAAGCATGGGCCAATCCACTTACCGTCAATTAGTTTTAAGTTGGAAGCCCACGTAACTTAACATTTATTGTACCCTCGTGAAAAACTGGATTGACTACATTATCAAGAGCGAATTTGCTATCACAAACAAGCTTCATTGGAGACGTGTGAGAAATCCCAAGAGAGTGAATAAATTTCTTAATCCACATGATTTATTGAGTTGCCAATGCTATAGCGCGATATTTTTTTTTTGCAGAAGAGCGTGCTGCACGATCTTGTTTCTTTGTTTTCCGCAAAACTGTGAATCACCAAGGAGAATGACGCAGCTACTGAAAGAGCGTTGAGTGAGAGGACATGAGGCCCAGTCATAATTGTAATACGCAGTGACCTAAAGATCAGAGCTTGATGAAGGATTCCTTTATCTGGATAACTTTTAAGATATCTGACAATGCGTACAGCCTCATCCCAATGTGCTTGCCGTGGAGCTTGTTTAAATTGAACGAGAATATGATCATACTAGTTACTTTGGGTCAAGTAAGTGTTACGTAGACTAAACGACCACTAAGTCTTCTGTTTTTGGAGGCATTAACGTAGAACAGACCACTGTTGTAGGTGAGACAATGATTTTGTTCAGTAGGAGTATCAACATGGCGTGCACCACTAAGACCACATTCGGAGATGATGTCAAGACAGTATTTGTGCTGTGAGAGATAAATACCATGAGGGCTGCAAGGCACTTCAATCCCCAGAAAGTATTTGAGAGTGCTTAAATCTTCCACACGAAAACACTAATGAAGATAATCTTTGAATTGGGAGATGACAGCAAAAATGTTACCAATAATCACAAAGTCATCGACATAGACGATGATATGAAGCATTGTGGAACCGCACACTCAAGTAAAAAGTGAGTAATCCTTCCGACTTAAATAAACCATACCCAAATCATGTCTTAGAGAGCTTAGAAATCGAGTAGTGAGGTGTTTGTGCAAACCATACAAATGATTTGTGTAGTTTACACACAAGACACAGATCAAAGTTGAAAACTCATGAGTAATAGTTTATGTAAATTTTTTTATTTAAATCCCATGAAAAAATGCTTTATGAACGTCCATTTAATGATGTTCTCATTTCTTAGCAGAAGTGACTTCAAGCAAAATGCGAATTGTATTCATTTTAGCAAACGTTTCACAAGTGTTTCTTGAAAATTTCCCCTAACGACCAACTGTGCTTTATTACAGCGTTCAGTAGACCTATCAGCATTATATTTTATCTGAAAACCTTATTTAAACGAAAAGAGCCTTTTTTGGAGGAAGTTTTGTTATTGGGTTGAATGGTATGTAATTTTTTCACGTTTTCACGTTTAATAATTTCATTAATTACATATCATTCACAATATTAAACAATGATAAAAAAATGAAAATTAATACGCTATTTTTTAATTCATCTCGCACCTTTTAGCGTTTTGAGTTTATTCAGTTTTTAGTTACCCATCATATTGATTCCGCTACTTTATTATTTAGCTATTCTGCTATTTAGTTCTTAAATTGACATACCAGTCGAACCCCAAATGTTTTCTTTCCTCAAGCGCTTCAACTTCAACCCCATTGCTTTTCGCCAGACTTAAATTGTATAGCATCTTTAAAACTCAAAGGTTCCTCACCAAGTGTAATTGCCGCTAACAAAGCGATACGACTGCTTGAAAAATGATCACAAAAGTCAAAGTTAGCGAGCGGACAGAGTATGTGATGTAGTCCTTAAGATGAGCAAGAAGTTTATTCTGATGAAAACTACGACCTAATGGTTCTGCAATAATGACGCTGGGCAAAGATTCAGCAGCTGATCCAGGTGATGTTGCTGTCTCAGAATCAGAATCATGAGGGAGAATTCCAGTGTCTACTGTAGTTGGCTCATTACTCCCCCTATCTTGGTTAAGCGTAACAAGACTGAGATCAGAGTTATCTTCAAAGACCAAAATCTGTGGTGGAGACGAAACTGAGTTGATAACCATATCATCAGATGGAGCTGAAGGAGATCGTGATGCATACGGAAATGATGTTACATCGAAGATAACATCGCAAGACACAAAAATAGCACCAAATTTAACAGTAGATAAGCAGTAGAAAGAATGCTCTCACCCTAATACTTCATAGGTAGGTGACTCTGCAAGAGAAGAGCTGAAGCCATATTCAAGATATGCCGGTGCTTTGTTTATTAACATGAGAAGAGTATATAAGGTATGTAGGTTAAACTACCTGAGGAATAACAGGAAACTAGATATCTATGATAGAAAAATATACATTTAAAAGATCTGAAAAGATATCCATGATAGTCTTGTCGGTGCAGTTTCAGTACTTCTATTTTGGGTTCATGTAAACTGCTAACTAATCAGACATGGTGGTGGATCAACGCAGTACATACATAAGAATGAACCTTCAAAATGAAGCAATGAAAATATCAGAGAAGCGGAGATCATCTTCATCAGGAAACTCTCGAATGGGTCTTATCGAACAAAACAGTTTTAGAAGCTGTGATCTAGCTCTTGATTGTTTGCACATCCAAGTCTCCTTTGTTCGTAATGCAACAACATTTAAGAATTGCCAAAATTATCTGAAAACCGAATACAACCATCTCTACATCTGTTTGGAAATGGTCTTTATGATTGGGAAAAATTGCTGAAATAGACTTAAAATTTAGGGTTTGATCCAGTTCTTGAGTTTCGTGTGTAAAAAACATTATTCTACTCATTCTTGATGCCCTTGCTCCTCACGTCTTCTTGATGATCTAAGGTTTTCCTTCCGATTATCCAACATCCTCGACATTGACTCCATCACATCCCTCGACACCTCTTGCTTCTCCGATTTTGCAAGACTCTAGTCTTTCCACCAAAACTCTAACCCTAGATCCTCTCGAACAGGAATCTGATCATATAAGAGGAAAGTGGCAACAACGCCAATTGACAGATGAGTGACCGAAGTAGTAGAAGGAGACGATAGAAGTTCGCAAGGCCCGTGCATTTCAGTGCATCAAGGACTAGACCGTTGATGATACCATAACATGAAGTAAACCATCGCTTCCAAAAGGGTTGATCCTTTGGCACAATAGAACCAATCTCATTGCAGTAACCACTATAGGGCAAACAAACACATTTGGTATTTTTCTTCTAAAATCTTTCTCTTCGTGCGTTCAGTTCCGTTTTCTTAGTTTCACAGAGATTTTATAGCCTCTCTCTCTCTCTCTCTCTCTCTCTCTCTCTCTCTCTGTAATCAAAGGGGTTTTTTTTTTCTCCTGAGACAATCTGAAGAACTGACAAAATGGAGAAACATGACTCATGACTTCTCATAAAAAAGTATGTTTGAAATATTTTTTTTTTTAGATTATAAATTAATCCAAAAAATGATATTTTCTTATCGTATTCCGTAAACTGATGGAAACTACTGTAACTAGAAAGTAAAACATCAGAAATGAAAATGGGTACATAGTTATGAAATACATATGAACCACTTCCTATGTCCGTTTTGTTTTTCCCAAAAGATCGGTTGAATGATTGTTATTTTGTGATGTCCAATTTAGACGAGGGTGGATCATGTGAATTCACATTGTCAAGCGGGAGTGTTGGTGAGGACATTGCGTTGGTGAGTTGAGATTACCTAATTTCTGAAAATATAGTGGTGCATGAAGAACATTTGAAAGAAATGATTAGTTATCTATATCATCAAAGAGTGTTTTATATATCTTTTCTATAACTTATGAACTGTTAACCGTGTTCAAACTAGATAAATTTGAAGATGGATATATGGCATAGCCTATGGCATTTAAGTATTTTAGAATATGCCTAGAATATATTATTTGAGAAGAGAAAAAAGAGAAAGTTGCTTAAAAATCGTATGAAGATAACATCGACAATCTGTTTTCCTTTGGAGCACCTGGAAATCGACGAATCGTATGAAATAACATCGACAATCTGTTTTCCTTTAATTAGAAAAAAAAATTCCTTATAAAAAGATAACATCGACAATCTGTTTTCCTTTGTCTTCATTGGTTCTAAAAGAGTGAAACACACATTATTCGTTCATATCAATCAGAGCCTCGGAAGATCGAGATTACGAAGAAGGGCTACAACTTTGGTTCGCCTCAGCAACTTAGCTAAACATCAATTTACTTCTGATTTTCATAAAAACATCAAAAACATGATGCACTTGTTGTAAAAATGTCTTCATAAGATTTCGATATAAAAGAAAAAAAAAAGTGAAAAATCTGATTCAATTTACTCATCTCTCTTGCGGAAACATATGAGTTCTACATGCGATTGTGATTGTAAGACAAACCACTGTGTGTAACACCAACTACGCCAAAATTGATGAAATCTTTGATATTTTGTTGGTTTAGTTTATGCTTTAATCTGGTTGAAGCAAATATTTTAAATGAAATAATCCAAATTCAAACCAAACCGAAACTGGAAAAATACCGAACTAGTCCAACTGAAGCAAAACAATATTATTTCAAACTTTAAAATAAAAGATCATGATGGTTCATAGATCTTGACATCTTGTTATCACCATCCGACAAACACAAATAGTGATAGATGTTTAAACTTTAAAATAAACCCCCCCACTCCCCCCCCCCCCCCCCCCCCCCCCCCCCCCCCCCCCCCCCCCCCCCCCCCCCCCCCCCCCCCCCCCCCCCCCCCCCCCCCCACCCCCAATACTTATTCGTTCATCATGCAGCGGAATTGTCACCATCCGATACATCTTCATCGGATGGCGAAACAGAAGATTCGGAATCCGAGTCCACAACGATCACATCTAGCGATGAAGGGAAGAAGGCCCGTCTCAACTTCTCCATAAATTCGTTGTGTCTATAATTCATACCAAATCAAGTTTGAACATTAGTCTGAAACCAAGATCTATAGTAGTAAGACTAAAACTGAAAAATGAATTAAGTAAGATAGATCGAAGTGAATACTTGAGTGTTCTGAGAGGTGTAGGTCCAAGATCAGCATAGCAGACTGGGCAACATTTCCAAGCATGTTCAGTGATGTTTCCATGGATGCATCTCCAGCAAACTGTTCACAAAGATTTAAAGTCATTTTATTTTGAGTTGAAAATGATTATACAGATCTCAATCCTCATATCAAATGCAACATGAACAGCCAGCGATTAAAGGCAAAATAAGATCTTGTAGTGAACAGTAGACGCTAGGTGAAGTAGATATATAACCAGTTAGATGAATAATTTCTTTATTCCTATGTATCTGCGTATAATTTGCTAAGAAAGATAAAAGAGACGTATACACAAAGTATAAACCTCATGATAAATAACGACTAATGATTATAAAATAAAAGATACAGCATCCAACAAAACAAAATGATGTAACTAGAGATGATTGATGGCTCACATGTGTGGAGGCACCCGGTAAGAGTTGTGGCGTGGTCAATTATATTATAACAGATTCCACAAGTAAACGATGGTTTCAGCTCATCCGTCTCCACAGATATTAGCACCATCCCTTCGTTGGTGTCTCTACCCACAACAACAAAAAGTAAACGAAAAAAAGATTAATGTTTTTGGGTGGCGGCTTGTAGGTTTACTTTTAATATTTCAGAAATGCTTTTTCATAACAACGGTATATATAGTGTCAAAGTGGAATTTTAATGTTAGGTAATCAAATTATAAATCCTTGAAATTTTGACTAAATATAATAAAAAATATTTTTTGTCTGGATTTCTATATTGTAGCCTAAATTTAAATGGAAACATATCATATAAATTTGAATGGAAACATAGAAAATTTATTTCCTTCAACATTTATAGAAAATTAATTCGGTCTCTAAAAAAATATACCACAGCATACCATAAAAAAAAAAGTTTTAGCATTGTGACCAGTTTTATTTTAATTTATTTTTTGTAGTAAGATTAAGTAATTTGCTCGCAGTTTTAGATAATAAACACAAAAATTGGTAGGATATCTATACAAAACAAATCTATTCAAAACTGCCAGCAAAATACTTGAATAGATTTTTTTTTACTATTAGTCAAACTATAGTTAAATGACTAATAGTAAAAAAAAAACAATTTTTGGTAGGTTATATATACAAAAATAAATATTTAGTCAAACTTCATAGTTAAATGACAAATATGTAATCAGTTCTTCTAATACTATACAAAACTTAAATTCTCACGAAAAAATGATGTAAGACATTTTTAGCTTTACTGATAGCCTTGTCTAAATTTATATACAGATTAATTTTTATCAATAAACTTTTTATTACATTTTGTTATTTATTTAAACCTTTTTTATCGCTATCAAGGCAATTTAAGTAAAATGTTTGAGATCTATAGGATGATGTTCAAAAAATATTTAAACTAAGATAATCAAATTTGTAATTTTAGGGATGTTGAAATATCACACAAACACTGGAAAAAACTGTAAGTGCAGAAAACAGGTGCAACAGAAAGTTATTTCGAAAGTGCCAAGTCAACGCTGATTTTATTAAACTAGAATCAACAATTTAATCGACTGATTACAATTGTTTGGACTTATGTAACTCTAACCTAGATTGCCCCCAAAGATTTCTAGTTCTATAAAACTTTCTTCACTTGATCAAGCAGCAGATCTAACAGGAAGATGACACTAACATTCTTGCTTTGTTTTTGCTTTTAAAGCTCAAGGATGTTCTAAAAACTTGCGGTGCAAAGTGTACCTCTCCCACTTTGCCTGACTTCCTTTTCATACAACTTACCCAAGATCCTAAACCTATAATCTAGTTACAAGTCCTTTTTGGAAACATACTTTATATTTTCCTAGATTCTCGAACATACTCAAAGTATTATTCGAGACTTCCACCTCAACATAAATATGCTCTTCAGCTACAAGCTTCCTGATGTCCATCTTGAGCTGCTATATTCCTCAGCTGCAAGCATCCTGATGTCCGTCTTGAACTGCTACCTGACGTCGCTTGCATCTTCAATCTCCCCCTTTTTGACTTTGTTTGTCACTTCAGCACAAGTATCAATTTACCTACAAACTCATATAGACAACCAAACACAAGACATGAGCCAAAACAGCATAGAAGCAAACTGCGCTAAAAATACTTGAGGAAACTGAAAAGTTTAAGAGTACAGGCCCACATTCAAAAACCACGAGAGACTTACAGTCCAATGCTCTCGATAAAAACACTTAAAAGTCTTAAAATTAAAGACACAATGGCCTGAATTAAAGTAAACTTAAACTTAAGAACTCCCCCATCACAGTTGCTCCCCCATATTTGGAGAGATCTCCTCCGCTACATCTCCCCCTGCTTAAGTGCATAACTAAGTCAAAAACACACAGAAAACACCAAGTAGCAGAGTCAAGAGAAGGCACTTACCTTGCAGAATGCGATTGATGATCAGGACAGCCTGAGTAAGAACCCGCCGATCAGCAAGAGAGAGCGACATGCCTTCCATGGCTGAGCGACCCTACGGCTTGGGTTCCGCCTTGATCACAAACGGATTAGCTGCAATACGGAACGGCTGAATGACTTCCATGCGATTGGCCGGTTCAAAAGGCACAGAACATTGCTGCTGTAGGAGCTTGTAGATCAGGCTTGGATACGGTAGGAGAAACTTGGAGCCAGGATTCCGACCGAGACTGAGAATGTGATCGAACACCATAGAGCCAAAGTCAAACGGTGTCTTGGTTGCCACCCGATGAACCATCCGGGCACGGGCCTTGTTGGAGAAGCCTGTGTTGAAAGTTGGAAGCCAGTTGTGACAGCTGATTTTGAACAATGCCCACTTGTCACTCTGATAATGAGCCAGAGTCAGAGTCTCCCAGATACCATGCCTATCACCACTCATGAAAAGAGCAAGTTGATCATCAGAGAGAAGTTCAGCATCAAGCGCAGCACTCGCCGAGGCCATTTCCTCAAGGCCAAATAACCGATTGATGATACGTGGGGAGAACACATACTCATGACCCCGAATCACCAAGCGAATTTCATCAGAATTGGTCTTCTCATCAGGGAGATGTGCCCAAAACTCCCATATAACCGTCAGAGGAAAGCGGATGATACCGGAAACGATGGAGATGAGGCCAACTTCACGGATGTTATCCTCCACACCAGCAGGGAGCGACTTAAGATCTACTTCGCGCTCGGCCAAGAAGTTGCGGTTGAGGAACAGATCGAATCGATCACTGACGCGTTTCGAGATGAAGCGACCAACATCAAATTTAGGCACCGAGGACGCCTTGGACTTGGACGGACGGTTCTTCTTCTTTGCTGGCTCTGACAGATCTGCTTCGATTTTGACATGGCGCTTGCTCCTACGAGTTCCCCTAGCAGAGGAGGAGGAGGGCACGTCCCTCGGTAACAGAGTCGTCGGATGGTCAGGTGAGATCTGGTGCAGAGCCGGCGAACTAACAAGGCGAGACAACCCTGAGAACAAGGACTTCATTGTTGCGCTTGAGAGAGAAAAGAGAAGTAGAAGACAAACAGTTGCGATTCAAAAGGGCAATTGAGAGTGAGGTGACATTTGGTGCTCCTCGAGGCGAGACCTAAATAGCCATTTTCCCTCCAAGAGATACATCCGATTGGGCCAGAATTTGAATGGGCTTAGAACCTAAGCATAGTAAAGACACTCAAGACACCCGTTAAATGAACAAGGACACGACTCGGATTGGTGATCTACTCAATTGACTCATCAGATAGCAAACATGCTGTCTTAGACCCCAACTCGAGACAAAACCATCAGGACAAAATCAATACAAGTAGTGAGGGACCCTTAATCAAATTAGCACACTGAATTTCAGATTGATCATACCTTTGATGGTGTGATTAGGGTTGGACATCCTTCTGATGATCCAGAACACAACACAGAGATGGACTCAAGTAGACAAAATATTATCCTCTGGATCCAGTGGCTGATCTTTCACACAGGAGTGCTGTTATCGCATAGTCTCTGAGTTTTCAACCCTGGCATATGGCGAGCTGACAACTCAAAACCTTTTTCATAGAGCTGATCTTCGTATGTGTTTTACCATCACTGACTGATATCTCAGGTTCAACATAGGATGAGAAGACTCGATGTTCTCTTGTCCCTTATCAGCGACCGATCAGCGGATTAACACCCTTTTTTTTTATTCTTTGTTAGCTTGATTGATCGATCAGCTGAGGACTCACACACTCTCCAGTTCGTATGTCAGTTCACGCATGAGTGCAACTTGTACTCATCAACTACCGACGGCACCCCAGACAGCCTTCTTCCACTGGACACTACATATACAAAGAATTCTTTATGAAAAGGTTTTTACTGTCACTCCTGAGCCCGTCCCTGTATGCATTCCTGTCCAGGATCACATACACTCACACACATCATTAGTTCTCACATACCCCAATGGACATTCTTAGATTGATAAATCCATTGAAATCCAAGTGTTTTGTGAACAAATCTGCTAATTGATATTCAGTACCAACATGAGCAATTTCGATCAGTTTCTCCTCAACTAACTCTCGTATGAAATGGTGCCTGATATCTATATGCTTAGTTCGTGAATGTTGAACAAGGTTCTTTGCAATGTTAATCGCACTCTCATTATCACAATGAATCAGAGGAGATTGAGATTCCATACCATAGTCAGCTGTCATTTGTTTCATCCACAGGAGTTGTGCGCATCCACTTCCGAGAGCAATGTATTCAGCCTCAGCAGTTGATAATGACACACTCTTCTGTTTCTTGCTGTGCCACGATATCAGATTATTCCCAAAGAAGAAACATCCACCACTCGTGCTCCTTCGATCGTCTAAACATCCAGCCCAGTCCGCATCACACTAACCGGCCAAGTTTTGATTCGTGTCATTAGTGTACAGCAGCCCCATGTTGACCGTCCCTTTGACATACTTGATGATCCGCTTGACTGCTTGCATGTGAGATACTTTAGGCATTGCCTGATATCTTGCTCAGATTCCCACACTGAGACTGAGATCAGGTCGACTAGCAGTTAGGTAAAGCAGGCTTTCAATCATGCTTCTATACAACTTGGTGTCTACATCTTCGCCTTGTGCATCTTTGGATAGTTTGCAGTTTGTACCCATAGGAGTTCTAGCCACCTTGCTGGAATCCAGACCAAATCGAGTGACAAGATTCTTAGCATATGTGCTCTGAGATATGAACACACCATCATCTGCCTGTTTGATTTGAAACCCCAAGAAGTAATTCAGCTCACCAACCATGCTCATTTCAAATTCTTTGTCATCGTGCTGACAAAGTCATCAACTAGTTTCTGAGTTGTAGCTCCGAATACAATATCATCAACATATATTTGTACCACCATAAAACCGTGTTTCTTTGTGATGGTAAACAAGGTTTTATCAACACTCCCACGTTGATACCCATTCTGCATCAGGAATGATGTCAGCCGTTCATACCATGCCTTAGGGGGTTGTTTCAGTCCGTATAGAGCTTTTTGTAGTTTGTAAACATATCCAGGATGCTTCGAATCCTCAAATCCTTTAGGCTGCTCAACGAACACTTCCTCTTGAAGATACCCATTCAGAAATGCACTCTTGACATCCATTTGATGTAGTTTGAACCTCAGTTTGCAT